CAACCTCACCACCCGCCCCAACCTCACCCCAACCTCGCCCCCCCCACCCCAACCTCACCCCGACCTCACCCCACCCCACCCTCCAACCCCAACCTCACCCCACCTTCACCCCACCCACCCCAACCTCACCCCCCACCTCACCCCCCACCTCACTCACCCCAACCTCACCCCAACCTCACCCTCACCCCACCCACCCCAACCCCAACCTCACCCCAACCTCACCCCACCCCAACCTCACCCTAACCTCACACCCACCCCAACCTCCCCACCCTCTCCCCACCCACGCCAACCTCACCTCACCCCACCCTCCAACCCCCAACCTCACCCCAACCTCACCCCAACCTCACCCCAACCTCACCCCAACCTCACCCCAACCTCACCCCACACCAACCTCACCCCAACCTCACCCCAACCTCACCCCACCCTCTCCCCACCCACGCCAACCTCACCCCACCCCACCCTCACCCCGGCCAGCCTTGGGCACGGAGAAGAGCGAACTCTCCCGTCTCAGCGGCGCAACGCCCTCGGCGCCCTCGGCGCTCTGGGCGCCGCGCGCGGCGTCGCCCAGCGAGGTGGGCGCGGTTTGCGGCCTGATGATTGGGCCCAACGCTGGGGTACATAATGTGTATGAATATAGATGCGCACACATATATATATATATATGTAATTAAATATGCACACACTGTTTTGCTAATTAAAGGCTATTTTGGGGATGGAATGCCCAAGGAAGGTAAATCCATGGGGGGGGGGGTACCATATGTATATATATATATATATGTATATATGTATAGATATCATTATATACACGACGACTTTATTTAAACTATATACAAGGCGATGGTACGGAGTAGCGTGCCGTGGAAACCACAACAAGTCCGGCTAAATAAACTATATTCATGTTTATGAAGGCATGCTTTGTTTAAGGGGACCCAGCCCCCCATTCTTGGTGGCACTTGAGTGGAATGCCCAGAAACGTCGCCGAACTGTTTGCCACCAACTTGCCTTCCCAACCAAGGCTTCTCTGAAACGCCCCCTCTCCTCCCTCAAAAACCAGCAAGTGACACGAAGCCTCTCCCAACCATGGGCTTGGGCCAAATGAATCCCTGAAAGAGCCGGGGAAGACCTGCTTGAGGGGACCTCTTCCGGTGCCGGTCTTCCTTTTGGCTTCCTCAAACCACGCCCCCAAAAAAGTCGGGCAACCCCGCCCAAATAAATAAACAACATAACATAACATAACATAACAATAAAATACCCCACCCCCCCCACCCCCCCCCCCCCCCAAAAAAAAAAAAGGAACTCGACTCGCCGCTCCGGCCATCGTATCGCAGGGCTCGGCGCCAGAGTGTCTGGGTTCGCCGGCTTCGCCGGGGTCGACTCAAGCTCGCGGAGGCGCAGGTCCTGGGGGACCCCAAGCAAAAAACCCGCCGTTTTTCAGGGCATGATCGACCTCTACTGAGGGAGGTATTTATGGAAAGCCAGGTCCTCCTGAAACCCTGAAAAGGCGGGGCAAGGCCCAAATCCCATGGGCTTCCTCCACAGTGGTTTCCCTTGTTCGATTGGAAAGCTCAAGGAAGCCACGGGGTTTCTTCCCATGGGTTTCCGGATGGGCGAAGTTGGGGTTCGATTGGAAAAGGAAGTCACAAGTTCCAAGAATTTGCGGAAGTAGTCGTGGTGAAATTTTGTGTGGGGTTCCGTGTGGAGGAATGGGTTAAGCGGGCGATACATGGGTGAACAAGAATTGGCGATCAATGGGTTATGGGTTATCGGCAATAAAGGAACCGCCATGACACAGGAATGAACGAAGAAGCGAAACACATGGGGACCTTCCCCAAACGCATTTTACCAAAGCGCCCCCTGTGTTGGTTGAAGGGAAGAAATCGCGGAAACTCTGACTTTGATAACCCCCAGAAGGAGTCAACACCTTGAAACTTGCTCAGAATCTTTCTATGCATGTGCCTCCAAGAGGAAGTATGTCCCCGAGAAAAGCCTCCGGTCAGGATCCATAGCACCGGCAATGGAATGAGGGAGTGCGGTGGATTCCCTGAATGTTGGCAAGTGAATCAATCACAATGAACATCTTGTCTGTACGCTGCAAGCTCTCCTCCGACTTCAGACTCCCAAAGGCCCATGTTTTCATCACCCCAAAACCGATTGGGTGAAACCACAAAGAGCACACAAACGAATCAAAGGCCAAATGTGGATGCCCATCAGGCTCCGAGGGTACCCTCAACTGGTCCCGCACGGGAAAATATAGACAAGGGAGGGTATCCCAAATCCAAATGACCAAGTTGTGTTGACCTTTACAGATTTCTTTTCTCAAATCGAGTTGTTAGGTTCTGGCCCGTATCTTGCCTACACCAAACGTCTCCAGTGAGCCTCGTGGCTATTTGTGGGGAAGTGAGGCCCCTCATGACACTCAACCAACAGCAACCCAAAAGGAAACCGAACTCAAAAGGGACCAACGCCAAAACCTCGAACCAAAGTCAAGCCAATTGCCATGGCTGGTTTCCTTTTCGCCCCCTTGATATTTAAAATCCCATAAGACTATAAGAGTTCAACATGTCCAAATCCCAACATGCCCCCCCTCTCCCCCCCAAAAAAAACACATAAAGGCAAACACACAGAAACAACAACAAAAAACACAGAAAACACACACAAAAAACAAAACAAAACAGCAAAACAAAAACAAGCAAACCAACGCAAACCGGATGTTGGTGTGGGTGATTCACGTTCGGCTCCTTGGCCGCGATCTGCTCTAGGGCCTTCGACAGCTTCGCCTCCAAGCCGTGCTCCCGCGCTTCCCGCGCCTCGCGCTCCGTGCGCTCCAGGCGCTCGGGCTCGGGAGCCGCTCGCGCGGCTCCGGGCCTGCGGGATCGATGAACTCTGCTCGCTGGGCGCGCCGCGTTTTTTCTTCTTTTTCTTGGGGTTGGTGCAAGAAAGCGAGGCGCTCCCATGGTGTGTGTCTGTGTGTCTGTCTTTTTTATTGAGGGTACCCTAGGGTGTGGTTTTGAAAGCTGGCGATTTAAAATTGAACTTAGAGCGCAAAATGAAAACACAATATGCACATGAACAGTGCAACCAAGACATGGTTGCATGGATGAAACTGGCATGTAATTAAGAAAGAGCCACCAACAACAACATACACAGGAGACGACAAAAGGATACAAACGGTGACCAAAGGGGAACACAGAAAAGGCCCCGCCAAACACAGATCAAACGGAAAGCAAAGGAAACGAGAAAGGAAACAACGCAAGGAAAGGACAATGCCAAAAGCTCTTGGGATCGGCTTTGAGCGTCCGCCTAGTTTTGACACACATGTACTTTGGTCCCGCTTGAAGTGCCTCGTGTTCCTTTTGTGGCTTCCAAGACGAGCCGATCCCACAAACAAGATACAACATGGGTTTGAAAAAGGGCCATTTTTAGGGGCCAGCGCCAAAACGCAACCCCCCCTCAAACCGCGGGGGTCCCAAAAAGACAAAACAACCAAAGCAAAACCGCGACAAACAGGCAAACCCAAAAGGATTGTTTCAAGGGAAAGGTAGAACTCCCACAAACACAACAAACAAACAACCAACCAAACAAACAAACAAACAAACAAACAATGGCTACTTCAAAGGCAAAACCACAAGTCAACCAACAGGCTAGCAATTTGTCCGGGTCTTCTTCTACTGAGAACCCAGGATTTACAAATCCAAAAGCGTACGCTTTTGTTTCGCCGTTTTGAGTCCGGGCAAAAAACACATCCAGGGTCCACATCGGTCTGCATTTTGTACATAAAACCCGAAATCAGGCACCAAGGAAAGGACCTACATCAGAACCTCGTTCTACATGCCAGAATCGAGCCTGATATTCCGACTGGATTTGACTTTACAACCCTTGGTATGGTAGCAAACAAGTAGCGTTGTTTCTTGCCGCCCCCTACTTAAAAAAAAGTAGGACAGAACCAAAAATCAAAACAACTTGCCGAGAAAAGCGAAGTTGGTACAAACAGGAACTTCGCTGAGTGGCACGTCCAGTCGGGCGCCCAGTTGGGCTGTCCAGTTCAGCACCAACAGGTTCTGTAGAAGCACAAAGAGACCACCGCAGCAGAGAGACCTGCCCACCGAAGGCTTGGCTTTTCGTTTTTCCTCTGCTTAAGTCTCCAGTAGTCATAGATGTCCTTTTTAAATCCAACAGGGGGGAAATAGAAAGAACATTTGCAAATGGAAGTGTTGTTTCCATGCTTTGTATGTTGGCCTGTTTATGTTTGTGTCTTTGCTTGTTTTCCCAGTTGCCCAAGCGATCTAGTTGGATTTCATCTTCCCTTTAGAATCCTTTAAGCATCTAGGGGCGAGTAACGCCACCTTTTCACCATTTGCCTCACCATTGACTTCACCATTTGCCAATTTTGACCATCTGACCTTCTGCAAATTTTGTCAGCTTTCCACTTTCGCCTTGTGCATGCAATTTGTTTCGGACAGGGTTGCTGCTTGGTCTGGCCTTTGACCCTGCAGTTGGGAGATGACCAAAGTTCCCACCATTTCCAACTCAGGCAAACAAATTGACTTGGGGGGGGCGAGTCCACCCAGACAAACAGTAGGCAAACAGTTTGACTTTTTGGGGGGTGCTTGTGAGGCTGTGTTGAGGGGGTGCTAATGCCTAGTGCAACCGGGGGGGAAAAGCCTGGCCCGAGCAAACACTGGATATCCTGGAGAAATTGAGCAATTAAAACCTGGCATGAAAGTGGCCCACCCAAAATAGCAAGAATCAAATGGCGGATATGATGCGCACCCGTGTGTCTTCAAACTCGTTCTATATGTGCAGCAAATTGTACTTTTTGCAGCTCACTAAGCATGAACACAATAACAAAAATCAAGACACTAAGATTGACTCCGGATTAATAAACCATCGTATTCATGGGGTGTGTCATCCACAAAAGTGAGCCGTATTTCCACTTAAAGGGAACACCCTAATCAAACCAACCCAGGGTTTATTAATGCCGGGTCAACATCAGCTTTCATCATCCATTTGCTTAAGTCCCCAGGAAAAACAAGCATGTTTCCAGTAGTGATAGATTTTCCTTTGAAACCAACAAGCGAAAATATCACATATTCTTTTCAGCAAATGGAGGTCATTACGCTGCCTCAGACAAACATGGAAGCACTCGCAATTGCCCTCTGTAAATGGAACCAAGTCTTCCGTTCCGGGGTCCGTTCGGGAGCTTCCATGGAATCGTCAAGGGAGGGTAGCGAGACTAGCGAGCCAAAGCCAATCGTCTGGAAAATCATTAATGGGTACCCAAACCCAAAAAACCCAACCAATGAGGAGCAAAAGTCAATCCTCTGGAAAATCATACCTGATGGGTACCCAAAAAACACAAAAAACAAACTGCCAAGTATAGAGCAAAAGGCAAAACCATGACTCAGTGAGTTTTTTTCGAACCTCTGGGCCTTCGGGTGATCCAGGAACTTAAATTCCTTCCGACTCGCACATCGGAGCCCATAGCTGACGGCCGCAAGCGGCTTACATGAGTGGCTCGTCTTTTTGCATTGGTACCCCTTGCTTTGTTGTTTTAAAGGGAAGACTCATCTAGGGGTTGATTCCCTGTCCATTCTTTTCAACCTTCGTTCTTTTTGAAACGAAGGATCCCTGGAACGAATGGTACCCCTAGAACTAAGGGAAACCCACCAATTTGGCAGTCCAACCTTGTCCTAGCTTGAGAACACCGTCACGTCCGCCTTCTGAGGTCGCGCTTTCTTTTGCAACTTTGCCCGGGGATGTTCCATGGGTATTCTCTTTCCGGAAACTGAACGATCTTATGCACGCTCCTCACCAACTCATCGCCCTGCCGATGTGAAAAGTCTATGTCACGAGTCTTGGGCTTGTACTTAAGCTGAGTTGGGGCCCTCCGCTTCATCAATCATTCATCGGGGCTTCTGTTCTGTCCCAAATGTGTTGATGATGTGATTTCACAGCCAAACGTGAAAACAAGTTTTGGACAGGCGGGCGAGTGTGCGACTGTGGATGATCAATTGCTGCAAAGTGGATGTTGTCCAGGCACAGTCGGCCACTCTTCGTCGGCGCCCTTCGAATTGGCGTACAAGAAGCTGATCACTTTCAAGGGTCACCGGTTTTGGCTCGGGAAAGTTTCACAAACAATCCCCCTCCCTCGATCCAGTTTTCTGCTTTTCCTGCAAAAAAACCGATTGCAAAAAGATGAGGATCCTAGGTCAACCACCTTAGAGTCGGAAAAGTACGCAGTCCAGGAACTCGGGGCGCTATCAGGTGGTGTGTTTGTGACCTGCCATTGACTCCAGCGAAGCCTTCGAGCCCAGGGTAAACACTGACGCGTGTGCCATGCTCACAGCTTGGGATCGGGGACCTGAGACATGCGAAATGAGTCATCAAAGCCGGGTATTTTTAATGGTCGTAATCCCAGAGCCATGTAAAGAAGTAAGAAGGCGCATATCCGCAGCTATTTCTGGTTGGGATTGTCAATGACTAACCTTTTCTCTACCTGGGTTTTGATTGTGGCTCAAATGGGCAAACCAAGGAAACTCAGCGCTTATCATGGTGCCGGGGCAAGGGGGCACAGACACCAAAACTCATCCTCATACATGGCTTTTGCATTGAGACGGGTGTGTTTCAGGTATGTCAGTGGGAGGAGCTTTGAACACTGCCACAAGAAAAATGGACCCTAGAATCCTGCAACAAATCGCGAATTCCAGGCGTCACCCTACAAGTCAACTCTCAAAGTTTCGCACGAGGCGACTGTTCCGAAGCCTTCGCCGCGGTGCCCAGAAACCCTGGAATATTGGGTGAGGATCGTTGGGTTGACTAAACGTTGGAAAACAACATGAGCAAACCCAGTGTACTTATGAGTTCCTCTGCCCCCACGGTTCCTCAAAAGTTGAATTCCTACATCCCTGGACCTTCCATTGTTACGAAAAAAACCATGCTCGGGCCTACCTTTTTTGCCCCATGATCCAAAAAGTTCTCTCTTCACATGTAGCCGTTGCATGGAAACATTTCGATACATACCTGCAGAACGGGCGCAAATACCCGCACAACGAGCGCAAATACCCGCAAACCGAGCGCAAATCCAAATCATGTAACAATTGGTATTTTGCAAGAAGCCCGTGTTTATGAAAAGAGCGTCTCGAAGCCAAAGTCCCCCCGAAAAGTGCCCTCTTGGCAAATGTCTGCTACGACACACCCAAGGGACACAAATTTATCCAACGAATGAAGCTTCAGGTCTGTGGGCATCCGCTGAGTCAAGTCCACTGGGTGAAATGAAAAAAGGTTGGTACCCCTTGTGATAGCCATCTCACCTATATGGTTCTGTCTTTTTTGAGGGCACCCGCCTTTTGCTTGGTTTTAAGGGGGAAACCACAAAATGAAACCCATCCTTTGGGGGTCCCTGAAGAGGAAACCAACAAAAACACCTTGATTGGCTTTCGGCCAGGGTTTCCGCTCGGTCGCCCAACTCTGGGCACCAGGCTTTCCAGGTTCTGCGTCAACAAAAACGTCGGCCGAAAATTATGGAGCAAAGAAAGGCATACCAAATACTCGAAAACTATGAGTTTCCAAGGCTGACTGGAGGATCCATATATAAAAAAGTTGGGCGAGTTGGACAAACTACAGACCCGAGGAATAACTCTACCATCTTGATGTAACCTGGATAGCTTTGGCCAGCCCAAGTCTTGCCTTCAAGTGCATTCGCTAACCTCAGTTCCGCGCGTGATGCAGTCGGCGGCTCTCCTCAACCTCCTGGCAACCAAGCCACGTTGGCCTACGCTAAGTCCTTTCGGGGTCCTGGTGTTACTTCGGGAAAAGAGGCCTCTGCTCACTTATGCGGATTGGTCAAACAAGGTAACCTTTGAGTGGCGGTCTTCCCAACAATGGCCAAAGACCGGGAACTCAGGGAGTGAGTAATTATATCTTCTCTGTGAGCCTATGGTGTATTGCGATGCTGTGAGCACTGAATACAAAGTCCATCGGGACATCGAGGGTTCAACTTACTTCCGCCGCCAAAAACAGTTGTTGCTGCCTGGTGGCGCGGGTGGCGGGTCGGGGCGGGGGAGGGGCCGGGGACGGGTGAGGTAGGTCGAAACCGTCCACCCCTGGGCTTCTTGTACAGTTCACCCCGTAAAAATCCAAGAAGGAAAGCCCCAACGGGGTTGCACACGGATCTTGCCCGACCTTCTGGATTGCATTCCTCAAGCAAAGACCTCTGGGTTCCATGGCAAAGGTCTGAGAATTGCAAAATGATGGCAGGCGGTGAAACACCAAACTTCTTTCAAATCCAAATCCAAGCCAATCCAAAACACCAACTGAAGCATACAGCTTGGAAGGGATGCGGGATGCAACCAAACACTCCTCAATGTAGAGAGCTGCTACTGGGTTACCTGATCCTTTTAAGGTTCCAAACACCTGAAACCTTCCACCCGCGCCGGTTGAGCTGTCCTCCTCTTCCGAGCTATCGCCTGCCAAAAACGACCGACACACCGCTCGATTCGGCTCATGGAAACAAGTCGAGGTGAGATACCTCCCAGTGCTCCTGGTTTAAACCCGATCAACCAATTCAGGGGTGAAACGGCCTTTCCCAAGTTTAGTGCTGGCTTAGTATTGGTGAATTTTTGTTTAGTATTCGTTTGGATTTGCCTTGTGCTGCCTTAGTATTGGTTTGTATTGGCTTGGCGTTGGCTTAGTATTGCATCGAGCTGCATTAGTACTGGCTTAGTATTGGATTGTACTACGTTAGTATTGGCTTTTATTGCTTCGACTGTCTTCGGTCCTCTTCGGTCCTCTCTACCTAGTACAGGCTTTGAGTTTGAGTATTCCTTTGAGCTGGCCCAGTACTGCCTAAAAGTGGTTTAGTATAGGTTTAGTATAGGTTTAGTATAGGTTTAGTATTGCTTTGTGCTGCCTTAGGCATGGCTTTGCCCAAGTACTAGCTCAGTATTGGTGTGTATTGGTTTAATATTGGTTTGACAGTATGTTTTTTTTTTCGGCCTGGAAAACGGTTGCGCAACGCGGTACCACCTTTCAACTGCTCGTGTTGAGTATTCGGGGTAACTACGTATTGCCCCTTGGACATTTGTCGGTTGAGCACTTTCACTGGAGGGAGGGCCACATCTAGGAGCACATAGATATAAGGGACCTTTCAAAAATGGTAGCTTTTCCGCTATTCTCCCTTTAAATCCAAACCAGAAAGGTGCCCTCAAGAAACGCAAAACCGTATTGACTATGAGGTAAACGAGCAACGGCACGGACTTATCATAGGAACAACGCGCACAGTGTGTTGCCAACAATTGTTAAGGAACGTGAGGGCGGCCAACAGTGCCCTGACTTCGTTTTTGTGGCCCGAAGCAGTTTTGTCCTGCACGCAAGAAAATAAAAACATCAGCAGCTAACAAGAGGCAACCTTATCAGAAGCTAGCAAGATTAATAACTAGAGATTAGAATCTAACAAGATCAAGAGCTAGAGCACTTACCAAGCACAGCAAAGTAAACATGCTTGCTTGGTGCCCCAGAAAGCCTTTGAGAGCCTGCTTGCTGGATCAAACTCTGCCGCCAACCTGGGAAACACAGAGTTGACGTTGAGACCCTGAGGCAAGGATGGTAAAGACAATAAGATAAGCTTCCAAATGGACAAAGATCCTGGGAAAAGAGGGTAACCCTGTGCAATCTCGACTTGTCGATTTGCTTTGGACGAGTGAGAACCTCCGAGGGTGTTGCAGTACACCCTAACACTAAACATGTTCCGACCTGGTCGGTCTTAAGCCCGACATGAGTGAAAATGAGAGAAAAAAAAAACGGAATTAGTGTAACCGCAGGGTGCTTATCACAACCCTCCGAGATTCTTGTGAATCCACTAAAACGGAGAAAAGAGGTTTATGTACATCCTTCCATTGCAACCCTCAATGGGCAAGGCAGTAGGGGCTGTGGTCGATGCTTCAGGTCCATTCGCTTTGGAGAAATGAATTCAGTAAGTGTCCAACCAAGGACAACGTATGAAACTAATCATCTCTTATTTGCCCCAAAACGCGGCCAACAGACTTCCTTGACGGCATCAAACACTCCCTTGCGTATCTTACAACTGGACCTTTTACAAACTCCATCATGCCTAAACCTCAAAGAGATCCCCGAAGAGGTCATGCTGGGCTCGCTTTCCCCCGCAGGCTCGGACTCAGAAATGCACAAACCCATGTCTTGCATCTGGCTCCTGCCACAATCCCAAAGCCCCAAGCAAAAGGCACCCCCACCCAACAAAAACAAAGAACAACCTAAGAAACCAACTACAGGAAGTTCTACAGGAACCCCCTGATTTTGGTGGGAATTTGGCTTTCATGTTGAATTTCCTGTAGCTGGTTTGTCTGAAACAAGGGGAGCCACCTCCCTGGAACTGGTGGTGGCCTTGCCCAAATTCTAAGGCCCGCAAGTGCGTTAGCGCCCTTGAGGCGCCCACGATTTTGCACCTCAGCAACGCAGTGCGGCGATCGAAGACTTGATCCCCTAACACTCCTATAATTAACAAGGAATCCGGAAAAAAAAACACGCCATCTAGAGAAACCTCCTTTTTGGGGACCTTCTTTTGGCCCTACATCTTAGATTGCAGGGGAGCATTCACAGATCCCGCTTCCATCTAGTTGGTATGGTGAGGGGGTTGGAGATTGACAAAGATGGAAAACATACCGCGGATGGACAACATCCACGGTATGATCCATCGGCATAGGGCTTCTCATATCCCCACTGGTGCGAAACGGTGCCATGACTGGTTGCTTCTGAAAAGGCAGGCCTTGGGTGCATCTTTCAGCCCGTTGCCGCTTTCATCGGGACAGGTTTCCTTCGCCTGCCACATTCTCGCATTTGGGACAAAGCCAGAGGCTGACACGTCCAATCTAACAGCCCAACAGCACTGTGCTTTCCATCCTCTTCCGCTAGGTCTTCAAAGCGATGCCAGGCTCCAAACCCTCCCCGCAGCTTTGGCCACGACCTCTACTTCACCATGGGTCGCCTGGCTTCCTTTGGGCTTTTGGCTTCCCGATTTCAGGATACTTCCGGCAGAAAAACAGCAGTCCGACACCTGCGCGATGTTCGTGCTGGGGAATGGTCACTAGGAACCTCATCCACCCTCTGTCAAGCCCTCCAGAAAACACGTGTGTCGCCTATCGCTGTGGCCAGATATTTTTTTCTTCCACTGAAGCCGTGGGGGCCCGGCCCTCATAGCTGCGCGCCCCTTTGGCCAGGATCCACCCCCTGCTTCCCTCCACAACTCAAACGCAACTCGTTTTTTGTTTTTTTGTGGGGGAGCAGGGCGGTTAGATCCTAGGACACGCTTCTCAACCAACTGAAGCCAAACAACAGTGTCCAAGCACTGGACAAGTTGGGTGAACCAGGGCCACCAACCACAAAACCCAATATCTATCCAAGACAACAACGTGCCCAGCCCGAAAAGAGCAGATCATCCACACCCAACTTGTCCGAAAAGCCTCATTGACTCTCCCCAGACTTGCCCACAAAGCTTACGGAAGGTATGGTGGATGCGGATTCCGTTCGCCATATTGCAAGTAAACCAACCATAAACCAAACAGTTTCGGTGAAAGATGGCAATTTAAGAACACATGGTAAAAAAATGGCAATCTAGAGGCTCGGTTTCCTCTTTCTCTTACTTTGCATACCCTCCATTTGCTTAAGTCCCCTGGAAAAAATAAGCATGTTTCCAGTAGTGATAGATTCCCTTTAAAACCAAGAGGGGAAAACAAAAAACTATTCTTAACCAAATGGAAGATACAGGGTCATACACGGTTTTTCTGGGTATGTAAAAAACATGCCCCAGGTAGAGGCTGTCGAGCCGCGTCGGTGGGGAGTTGCAAAGCTCCGGCGCGGGCAAAGCTGCAGTTTCCTGACGGCCGGTGCAACCCATGTGGCTGTGGGTCAAGAATATAAGTGGAATCCTGGTAAATGGAAACATGGACTAAAAACTGCGGTTTTTTGGTGGTCTAATTTTGACCCATACCCATCTTTCTCCGCGGTGTTCGAGAACAGGGACATGGGGTCCGCTGAAGGAAACTGACCCAAAAAGGCCGGAGACATGGACAAACTCATGTGAGTCACAATCAAAACCCGGTACAAGAATGGTCGATTTACGGATTTAGAGCCAAGTAAAGAACTAAGCAGGCGGCCGCAGCTAGTTATGGCTGGGATGGTCCCTTACGAACCTACCCGGGTTTTGATTCTGGCCTACTTGTGGAGACTAAAACAGGGGATGGAGCCAATCTTGTGCCTCTACCTTGCAACCGCTCCAAACAAAACATAGCCTATTGACATGGACACAAGCCTGCGGGGACGGATGAAACCCCATTTGACTGGTTGAGAACCACAGATCCCAATGCTCCGGCTGTCCATAGGCTCCAGCATGAGGAATAGTTTGGGAGCAGAGGTCGACAGGGTTCTGGGAATTGCCCACTTCTGTGATGTCAAGTATCGCAAAAGTGGAAACCAACCCCATCCCACAACCTTGATCCCCTCAAAGACGATAAGATATGCCATTTTGAAAGGTTGTCCTGGACGTAATTGACCCGTTTTCGATGTCAACCGGATGTTGCTAAATGGGAACGCGCAGGAGTGTCAGCCTGCCGCCAGGCAAAAAGTGCAGCTCCACAGGCACCTCCCCCGATCTGGTGGCTTGGATTGGCTTAGATTGCTGGATCGGGGGTGTTTGAACCCGTCGCCTTTGATGAAACTGAGTTAGAAGGTAGATGCCAAACCTCCAAACCTCCAACCTGAACCAAATCAGGGGCGAGCTGAGAGAGGTGCAACAGGACGAAGAAACCACCGCCCGCGAACTGAGGCCATGGAGGAGCTTCGGCTTGGAGGTTCGGTGTGCCCTCTACAAGAATCAGGCAGTCAATTCCCGGAGCCATTCCAAAACCACACACCCGTTGAATGAAAGTGACGTCCCCAACTCCCAACACATTCTTTTGGGTTTGCAATGACTTTGCATGAACAACACAAGTCGAAAGTGGTTGGACATGAATAGCGATCTCTGTCCATTCCGGGTCCCTTTACCCCCAAAAGTCATTTTCAGAACAGGTCAGGCGAATTCGAATCCTTCTCCGCCTGGCTTACGCTCCTCCTCCCCATCAGAGAGCCTGGGACCAATGTTGGCACTGCTGGAAGTGGCTGTTTCCCTGCAACAGCAGCCGCCCTAGAGGAAACTCTCTTAACAGCTGGGTCAAACAAAGATTTAAACCAGGCAAATGTAGGGATGTTGGTTTCATCTTGGTCAATGTTCAATGCTAAGCCAGGGATATGATCGATGTTCTAGCATAGTTAGCTTTGTACATGCCAACTTTTCTTACTTGGATGCGCTTGGACGAGCCCAAACTTCTTGGATGACAGCGCCACATCAGGTACTTGTAGGTCATAAACATCCCCTCCAAGTGGCTGACTTGCCCTACAACCCGCGTAAGGAACTTCTTCACCAGGGGTAGTGGGACGAAGTGATGTGGCTGCCGATGCCGCAGAGTACGACGCAAGCAGTTGGGTGCAGTGGGGAATTCAGGGAGCCGCCATTTCAAAACAAAAAGGAAGGTTTTGTTGGTTGCCAACTATTGGGGAAACTGGGGACCACTGTGCACTCACCAGGGCTTTGTGGTTGGATCTGGCTGGCTTTTCTGGCAAAATGAAAGGGGATCTCTCGTGCCTCGGGGAAACAGGTCTCAGAATCTTCCCCAAAGGCAACGGTTCCCAACAGGTACTCCTCTGCCACTTAATATGGAACTTGAATGGATATCATCCCAAAAGGCGATTCCTCAAAGCTTTGGGGTCCATCATTCGATCTGGAAAACAACCAACCTCCTGGCAAAACTCCTGCACATTCTACAAGAATTCCAAATCTAAAAAAAACACTAAAATTAACAGGGATATCGGCAATAGTCCTTTTGACATGGTGGTTATAATAGGGTTATATGTATTTCACCCTATTAACCTGAAGTCGGGGATCCCCCAAGCAAACGAGCTACATCATGGCGAGCCGATCTGGTCCGCCCCTCCGTCCGTCGCAAAACTCTGCCTGTGGTTCTGCTGCACTCGGTTCTGCCTGTGGCATATGTAGATCTACCTTCGCAACCTAGTATGCTTGGGTGCTCTAGGTCCCCCAGCAAAAGCTTGACTTTTTGCTGGCTACAAGGACATATGAAGAGAATCCAAAAAGTTAAAGTCTGAAGAACCAACCCAATAGCAGTAGAGGTATGGGACCTTTTGCCGGTAACCGCCTGCTATCGGGGTAGGCATCCAAAGAGGGCTATGGGAAATCAGGTTTTTGTCATTTTAGATTAGCTTAACCTTCGCCGACAGTGTAATATATAGTTTGTCATGTGCATAACACTTTATAAAGTACATATGACTCTCCCGCGCGAGAGTCAACCAAATAAATACGGTGGTCAGACGAACTCCTGCACTAGGATTTTACGTCTCTACACTAGCTGCCCCGATATGGGGACACCATGCTAAGAACTCAGTCCGAGAAATGCCCTGAGACCGATGCCCAAGGAAACACACACTCAGTCGAGGTGGAAACACCTTGGATAGCTGTCAAAGCTGGAGCGTCGTGTCTCTGTGTCTGTGTGTCTGTGTCTGTGTCTGTGTCTGTGTGTGTCTGTGTCTGTGTGCGGGATGTGTCCTAGCGCAAAACATGCTTTCCTTCGGCGGAAATCGGCGGCGCTCGCCGGCTGGGATGCCGACTCGGGCAGCTGGGGCGCTGAGGAGTCCCCCCGCGGGGACCTGGTGAAGAGAAATTTACGTGGAAGGAACCCAAGCGGAGTACAGGTTTGGGGGAGCCCTTAGGAACTTCAAAGGGGGGGTCCAATTCTCAATCTGTTTCTCCCAAACATTGGTGGTTGATTGGGGCTCTTTCCGCTACTCCGTATGTATTTGCTTGGGTTCATGTGTTTGGGTTCATGCAACCTGAGAGCCAAGCCTCTTCACGATTCCAGACAATATGGAGATGTGTTAGGATTTAGGGTACCCTGCTCGGACTAAACCTGAACATGCAGTTTTTAATGCCCAGCCTCACTTCCGCGAACTGGCCAAACTTCTGTTTGCCACCCACGTTGTCCTCCCCGAAAGCTTCGAGCCGATGAACTCAGGGAGTCAGCCGTCCAAAAAATAATGCAGCAGTTCTTTGGAGTCGATCTATCTGGGGGATTCAGGTCTGTGCCCAATTTCAGGTCTTTGCACGACCTCCTAACCTCCCCCCCAAAAAAGAACTTTCTTGTGTGGTGGTGCTTGCTTGCTTCTTCTGGCCGCCTTCGGGCTCAGTGAATTTGACCCCGTCCGCCAGCCGTTCACCACAAACAGGGGTACCAAATGCTTGCTGGTGCAATAGGTAGGGAATGGCCTTTTCGGGTGTTAGGGAATGAACCGTTTGGGGATTCCTGAATAAAGGAAGCCAAACTGCCACTTTTTTGGGGGGGACCCCATTTTCCTTGGTACGTCTTTGCCACAGAAAAGGGGTCCCAAATACTTGCTGGTGCTCAGTGGAATGAACCGTTTCTGCGTCCAAATTGGGGATAGCTTTCTCACTTCCTGAGTGGATTGGCCAAAGCAGGTATTGACTCTTTGCATGCCACTAAAATGGCAACCAAGCCCGAAAAGTGACGATCCAGTCCAGGACCTCATGGGACTCTTGGTCTCTCGGTATCTCTTGGTGCCTTTTGGAGGCGAGAAGCTTCTTCCCACTCCCCGCATCTCTCGCAACTTTTTCGCATGCGCCTGGTGAGCTCGGGCTCCGCCATGGCCCTCGGAGGGAACGAGCTTCCTTGATACCGGTCTAGGGGTTGATTCCATGTCCATTCTGTTCAACCATCGTTCTCTTCAAAAACCGGCAATTTTCGCTGGGTGTCTTTCCCCAGAAAGACGGATCCCTGGAAAGAATTTGGAAGGCAGCCCTAGAACTGTGGAGGGTTACGAAATCCTCGCCAAACTCAGACACCCAGCGGAATGAGACGACTTCGAATGTAAATGCCAAGAAACCTTATGGTTTCAGCCATGGGCTCCAAAGTGGTGCGACATGGATTCCGTCCATCCCAGGATTTTTTGCCAAAGTCGCAGGTTACGAAACAACTCCGGTTGACCGTGATAGGTCTTTCCAGAATCAAAGTCACTCTCCAGTGGGTTTAAGGGAAACAACCCCGATTTTTTTAACCAGGAACAGGCTCAAAATTCACCTTGCCCCCAATTGGGTGGTTTGCTTTGGTGCTTTGGGCCATAGGGGGTACCTTCCCCATTTGTCTTCAAAAGGTACTGGGCTTCAAATCCCCAAGCCACAAACCAACGAAGGGCAACCCGAAAAACATCCTGACCCCACGTGGTGCTGGAGCCCCCAATGTGTGGGACTGCGAGTACAGGGCAAGCACATGGCAGCGCTTCACAACCTTGTCCGCTAAGCGAGTCAAATGAGGCATATCCCACTTGGAAACTTATTCACAAAAGGTATGAATCATGAGAAAGGGAACTTTAAGAAGCCAGTGTAACCTGCCGCGACTCACTTCCTGGAGCGGATTGGCCAAGAACAAGTCTAGGCTTCTTCTTTACCACTAAAATGGTCTTCCCAAAAAGTATAACATGAAGAGCTGGGAAGGCAAGTAAGGAAAGGCAGTGTGAGGTTCCTGTGGAAATCCCTTACATTGATGACCCTCCCGACCAACCCCAAACCTCTGAACAGACTTGCTCAAATTGAAGGCATTTGCCACCAACAAATGGACACATTGTTGTCGTTGTTGTTGTCGTTGTCGTTGCTGTTGTCGTTTTCTTTTGTTGTTGTTGTTGTTGCTGTTGTTGTTGCTGCTGCTGCTGCTGCTGCTGCTGCTGCTGCTGTTGCTGTTGCTGCTGCTGCTGTTGCTGCTGCTGCTGTTGCTGTTGCTGTTGCTGTTGCTGATGCTGCTGATGATGATGATGATGATGATGATGATGATGATGATGATGATGACCACCAACCTGTCTCTCGGGCCCAAAACCCAAAAGGTAAAGTGGAGGTGGGGAATCAAGAATCGGGGTTGGAAGAGCAACGTCCCCCCCCCCCACACAAAAAGTGTTTCAAGCATCCTACGGTGGATGGACGAAATCCTGCACCACCGAAGAAACCCTGGAATGCTGATTCCCCCATAAATACCAACCAACAATGGTTTCTCATGGTTTCTTAGGGGTGCAGGATTTCGTCCATCCACAGTAGTATAGATCCTGTGCTGCAAGTACTGCTAGTGGGATAATGTTAACCCCGGATTAATAAACCCCTGGTTAATTTTGATCGGGGGGTGTCCCCTTTGACTTTGAGTGGATGGATTCAGACCACTTTTGGAGGGGTTTCCACCCCTCGGATTCATGGGACGGGATCTACTTAGATCCTGGGTCCACATTACTTGGCTAGAATCATAACCAAGCGTTTCCTTTGTTTTTTATGCCTAGTGGAAAACACAAGGGACCCCCAAAAAGCAAAAATCAAAAAGGGGAACTACTTCTGGGGAAGATTCTGTCGCCAAATCTCCGAAAGCTCTGATCCTCAGCCTGCTGCCCCACCAGCGGGATGAAGGTGAAATGCAGCCCTGCCGGACCTCGACTTCCGACTTCGGACAGAGCCCATTGTGGGGGTGCCGGGACCCACCAAAAAGGAGGTGCCAAGAATGTGTTGTTCACACGACCCCTTTGTGGTCTCCCTTTAAAACGAGCCACAGGATGGCTGCTTCAACCAATCTTGAGGCCAATTGTCCGAGGTTTGCGCCATCCAGAGACCGCGAGCGCACAGCATTGGCTGTCCGAGAGGGTCGGGTGATGGTCAGCCTCACAGCGCGCCCCGTTCAATGCGCAGAGCCTCGTACCCATTGACGGCAGGATCCGACTAAAAAGGGGACACCCCATATCAAGCAGGGGTTTATTTATCTGGGGTTCCCATGAAGGGTCCTGCGTCCTGAAATCCCGACCCAACCCCAATTCAGAGGAGTCCGACATGCAGACATGGTCTCAGCAACTACGACGGGCATGTCAACCTCTGAGGGCGTGATCCATTTCCCCTCACTCACTTCCTGAGTGAAGTTGACCCAAAGAGTAAAACAAGTACGAGCAACAAACAACTCGCTGGATTGGCCAAAGAAGCAACCACACTTCTTATTTACCACCGACCGAAATGGTACAATCCCAAAAGGGAACCAAAATCAAGGAACTCAGGAAGTGAGAACATAGGTCCTCCAGAGAGGTTAGAATACGGGGGGGAACCCTCCCCCCAAAAAGAAACGGTAAAAGGGCACCAATTGCTGGGGGACCTAGGAAATCCACCCCAAGGGATACGTCTTGGACCTTGCCAGTTCGAGCCTGTGGGCTACTGGCAGCCGAAGCCGTGGTTGACCCCGGATCAGCCCTATTGAGGGGGCGGGGTGGGTGGGTGTGCTGCACAAGTGGTCTGAATCCCCGCCAAAAGGGGGCATCTTTTAATCATCTAGAGGGGTGTATTAATCTTCTAGCTGTCCCCTGCCCATTCTCTTCAGGCATCATTCTCTTCAAAGACTGGGCCCAAAGCCCTGGAACATGGGTGGTTTCCACAGAAAACGATGGGTGAAGAGAATGGGGAATCATGAAGGCTCCTGAGATTCGCATCTTAGGGTGGTTTCGATGCGCATCCGGGTTTTCAGCCGGATGAGCTGAGCTCTCGCCGAAAAGGCGGTCGGGTGGCAAGAGTCGGGTGGACACTTGACCTACAAGAACACATCACCACTTGTGGACCTTTGCTGCAAACCAACTGAGTGATTGCACATATACACACATATATATATATATGTGTATATATGACTTGGATAAAAGGTATCTATGGATAAACTAGCCATGTGCTAGCTACAACTTACTTCTGGGAAACGAATCGGCACGATGCCCAAAATGGCCGTAAGTGCAGTTAGGATTCCATGCCATCAGCTTTAGAACATGCCCCTCATAGTCAATGGCTCTGCTCTGAATCAGCATAGATTCAAGTAGGCGTAAGCCCAGGGTTTTGCCTTTTGGGGAAGTCAACCAGGCCTGGATGAAAACCTTGACGAAACAACCTGGGCTGTCCTCAGATCCCCTGCTAACAGGCTAACTTTTCGTGGGTTAGATGGAAACTACCACCAAATCAATAAACAACCTGAAAGGCCAAGGAACCGGACGCCGGAAAAAAAGAAGAAGGAAAAACAAACTCAAGCAAAGGAAGCCCGGTAACAAGCCTCACGGCCTGGGAGTGCAAAGGGCAGCAGTGGGGCTGAGTGCGGCACGTGTCGCTGGGCCCCAGTTCCTTGGATTCGGAGCTGAAGAGTTGCAAAACCCCGATGCCCCGATGCCCGAAAGGATATCAAAAACAGAATCCAGTTTGCCTTAGACGGAAACTTAAAGCACTACATGCAACTTGTTTGTCAAACAGGATATGTTTAGTACATTTCAATTGCTCCACCAGGCGTTGCTTTTTTTTTCCCCAAGCGAAAAAGGGAATACCCTCAAAGTGTTGCTTCCGTTTCCCTTTGGCTTCTGCTTTGAGCAGAAATCGGCATCCATGTTCAACAATGGTACACCCGTGTTTTCGTTCTCAACGGAAGCCATGGGGCCTGGACAACAGAAGTCGCTTTGTGGATGGGGAATTGTTCTCTTGGACCCTCTCAAAACTCACACACACACACACGCACATAACTAAATAAATGTATATATATATATATGACGCTTCTCACACTAGATGTTCAAGGGGGTTTGCAAAGAAGCAAGAATTCCTATCCCCTTTTTCAATTCCATTTGGAAGAAAACCTGCTTTTGGTTGCATAGTGCCCGCCCAAACAAAACGGAGAATTGTGTCGTCCCATGCAAAACCAAAAAGGAACCTACCATTATCCCTGCTAATAGCTTAACTTTTAGTGGTTTAGTGACAACCCCCTAAACCCTAAATCCATCAACACCTAAGGGGATAGCCGGAGACGTTGAAAACTGGGATAAACCAGCTGGCAGAT